AGTGGGACTGAAGAGAGACATCGCTTTTGATTTAACTAGGGGTTCAATAATTGCACCAAACCCATCATGTTCCAAGCGGCTTTTTGAGCTCTAGTGAATCCTCACAAAGCTTTGTGGAGGTGGGTGCATTTTATTAGCCTCCCAATGCAGACAGGAACCCTGAGGCCCTAAAGACAAGGCTGAGATTTTCCAAGCTGGCAAGGGGTGTTAGATGCACTTCCTCTGCCAAAACTAGCGGGAGGTTGTGTCTAAATCCCCTAACTGCCTTTAAGAGTCTCCACCTCAAGAGTTAGCTCAAGGCAATACAGGTCAATAGAGCCTAAGTGAGTTGGTCCCATGGGGCGACCAAAGGCTGCCCCATCAGTATAACCCAACATCCCCCGATTCTGCCCAGAACGTGTCTTACCTTCTTGCAGTCTTCGCACACCACGCAAGCAGACCCTAGGAGACCCAGCTGTTCCCCACACAGGATGCAGCGACTCACCCCATCCCCCGCCACGCTCCTGCGCATGTCTTCCAAGCGGTTCATAAGGCGCCTGCACATAGATCAACACGACACAGGGTCACAAGAGCAGTGTCACGGCACGTCAGCTCTTGGGACAGCGGCGTGAGCCAGCCCAGCTCCCTGGGACAGAGCACAGGTAGACACTGCTGCCCTCAAGTGAAGCTATTCTGTGTCTTTGGGGATGCCATATCAGTGAGGAACACAACAAACCCCCTTTCCTTTGCTCAGGGGCCAGGCACACAGGCCCTTCTCCTTGATCGGGTCCTCCCCAGAGGCCGTACCTCCATCCAACAAGGAATCTGTTAGGAGGGTGAAGCAATAGACACAAGTGAAAGAAGACACACCAGGAGACAGGGAAATGGATGGGGTAAACCCAGAATACGGATGCATTCACAGCTTCTGCAAGGATGATCCTTGTGAGGGTGATGAAGGTTTCTTCTCCGTTTCACCAGCCCTGAAATACCAGGACAGCAGGGGTTTTACAGAAACAGCCTTGGACATAACATGCTTATATCTGCAAGCATCCTTATGCCCCAAGACCTTTGCCTGGCAAACGCTTGACTGAGCACTTGCATCCAACCTTACCCAAAAGGCGGTGGCACGGGGCATGAATAGCACTGACAAGTGCTCCTGCTGGCATAGGACAACCCCCCTGACACTCGGGGCTGTGGAAAAGGGAATCTAACAGAAAAACACGATTAGTTTTTGCACAACATGATGGGAAGTGTCAAATGTGGCGAGAACGGCAGCGTAACCTGGTGAGGCTCCATTGGCCTCCATGGAGCGAGACCAAATCTGGTCCACAGTTTATAGAAAACCATCCAACAGATAATCACTCCAAAAGATAATTACTTCTTTACTTTCTAATTAACACCTGAAGAAAATGTGTCACCTCTCACTATCTTTTCATCTGACTGTCTGGAGAAAAATACAGCTGTGGCATTGTGAACATCTGGAGAGCACACGGGTGTTTGTGGCCCATTCATCCAATAACGCCGCTCAGAGTGATTAGCCCAGCTAGGCAGCATCAATACTCCTGTTCCTAACAGCCCCACCCCACTGCACTCCTGGAGTAGGGTTGAACTAGCTTGTGCAAAC